GTCTAATCTTATTTAATTAAACTATTTTAATTAAATAAATATTATTTATATTTAATCAAACTCGTTTAACTAAATAAAATATTAATTAATTTAAATCATATTTAATTTATTCAATTATCAATTATCATTTATTTAATTAAATCGTATTTAATCAAATAAATTATATGTGTTAATATATAAAATAATTTAAGTATTATTGACACATAATTAAATTAAATCATATTTAACTTAATCATCCATTCCACTATAAGTACTTTATGCGTGTGACCCTGTAGGTTCTCGTAACGTTGACAATAATATTAAATCGCTTATTTAATATTATAAACAATGACCGGTATCTAGCAACACATCACTACTACTCAAGTGACGAAAATATCAAGTGATCTAACATAACCTTTCTGTGATAATGATCATGCGTGTGTAAATTATCATTTTGCCTTTATATCTATATTGAACACAAGACATAGAATGTACCACCCTTGTATAGTCCAATATTATATTCCTTGATCCCCGAGTATACTTGATAACAACAAATAAGCCCAATATCTCATATTAACTTATTTGAGCACGGTCATGCATTTTACAGTCATACTCTATCAAGGGGCCCATAGATATTACTCATGTATATGCAGGAGGGACAAATCTCATCTAAGTTACTCATGTCCCTCAACATGATTTGTAAAGTACCCATCAACCATCTTTATATTCATCTTGTTACGGACAATATTTGATTGGCAATAAAGTACTCGATTCCACATCTATGATGGTTTCAGGTCGAAGGGTGGTATACACCACTATCACTATGAGAACAACTTATGACACTTACATAATAAACTATGTAGTATTCTCATGGTGGATAAATCCAGTATAAATATTACTCCTAATATTTATACCTACGTGAAGACTTGATATCTCATATCCATGACTTGTAAGATATAGTAATCAGTCCACTCACATAATAGTCTCTATGCATTACTGTTGTCCTATTTGACAGTAAAGATTGACTACAAATACTTTAAGAATAACGTTCTTATATTTAATGAGCTCTCACGATTAAGTCACACTTAATAGATCATTAATAGACTAATTATTCTAAGGACTTTATTATGTCATATATAAATAACATAATACATATGATGCCTAATAAGTATACATATATTGAAAACAATATATATCAAGGTCTTGATACAAAATCATATTAAGCCAATATTAATTGGCTATTAGGACTTACTCCAACAATCTCCCACTAGCACTAAAGCCAATCAAATATTAATTTAACATCTAGTTGCTTATTTTATGCGTCAAGCATCATCTAAGCATGATACTTTATTAGGGTATAAGGAACTTTTTCCTCTCTTAATAATATACACCTCTTCCAATTTCAACTTTCGATCTTCTATCAAAATAAATTGAAGTATTCAATATATATATATATATATATATATATATATATATATATATATATATATATATATATATATATATATATATATATATATATATATATATATATATATATATATATATATATATATATATATATATATATATATATATATATATATATATATATATATATATATATATATATATATATATATATATATATATATATATATATATATATATATATATATATATATATATATATATATATATATATATATATATACACACACATGGATCGCTAGTGAGATCAAGTATTCTGAACTTGCAAGATTAACTCATTATCATCGTGAATGAGATCAATATGATCTGCAATACAAGAAACACAATTTTCTTCTCAAGAATTATCAAAGTGATCCAAATCATATATTTGACATTTGTATTATAAACAACAATTGTCTGAAACTCTTTTCAACTTATACAATTTTCATCAAAGCATAACATTTAATTTATACTGTGATATAAATATATAGTTCATAAATTTTGGAATAACATCATTGTAACTCCTTTACAATGATTATTCCCATCTACTCTCAAGAATAGAAACACTAGGTTCTTTCAAGATATTCATATACTTTCTTGATTGTGATCTCCTGATGAACACTTCAATCATCTTGGTACTTATTGTTTATTTTCATAGCATATGATGCATCTAGTACATATCATGGTGTCCTTTTTCTCATCCAATAAGGTAAGACATTGTCCATTAGACCAAACATCATGCTCCGCATGAAATATATATAATGTGAGATTTATGTGTATTAGGTATCTCAATATTTTATCAGAATATGTAGTTGTGCTAGGATTGAGATTCACCAACCATCTATATCTATATATCATGATTCCTAACCTTTTAGGAAACCTCATCTAATCATTTCATCAAAACCATTTCCTTAACCATGTTATACATTGGTGTTGTAGGGAATTTGTTTTGATGATCAATATTGTCGCCTACATACTATACTAGAGTAATGCAAATATTTCCACTAACTTCATCATGTGCACAAGATTTGAACATGACATTTATTAATCCAAGTTTACATGAAACTTCATTAATAAATGGATTCAACTCCAAGAAGTTTGCTCTAATCCATAATTTGATTTAAATAACTTATACTTCTTTTATAATCAAGATCATTTAAGATCTTCTCTAGATCTTGTGCTATATGAACCAATAGTCCAACAACAACCCCCTTTTAGATTTGGTTCATATTCCATTCTCGTAAATATATGTATTTACCGATGCTTGAATTTCTTCAAGTTCTACATCACTCCAACTGGTTCCTTTAAATACATAATATCTCTAAATGAAGACTTCATTTCTATCGACATAACAAATTTGTCCAATAACGTATTATAGAATATGTGTCCATTATTTCCATTGGGATACATCGATGAATACATGTTCATCTAGATTGTGACCAAGTTTACTTAATAAACCTTACAACCCAGATGATCAAGTTTAAGAGGACTTTTCAAAATTATTTATTCTCTTAACAGAATAATCTCGAAAAACAGATCTTGATTAAATCATTAATCACAAATCAATCGAACAAAAATAAAGGATTCAAGAGTTACCTCTTAAAGCGTGTTATATCTTTGATTACGAACAACAGATGATACCGACGTCTCTACGTAGTCCACACGAGTACAGAGTAGAAGGCGATGCTAGCCGTTTTCAAATAAGGACAAAGTTGACGATTAGAATTACAAGGGAAAGAGCTTCTCTATTTATAGAGAGCTACTAAAACCCTAATACTCTTATTTTCGACTTTTTTTTTCAAAAGGAAAAAACTTAGGTGCATTTCCTTAGGTGTGTTTTATGTTTTTTTCCAATGAAAATATGACAAGTGTATAATTTCCTCTTACACATATGCAATTTCTTTCTATTTTTACTCCTTAAAAGATATTTAGGTATATTTGTCATATTTTTATTGGAGAAAAATATAAATCACACCTATAAAATTATATCTAAATATTCTCCTTTTCAAAATAAGCTCAATCTTATTTATATAAACTATTTTAATTAAATAAATATTATTTATATTTAGTTAAACTCTTTTAACTAAATAAAATATTACTTAAATTAAATCATATTTAATTTAATCAATTTTAATTCTCATTTATTTAATTAAATCATATTTGATCAAATAAATTATATGTGTTAATATATTAAATAATTTAAATATTATTAACACATAATTAAATTAAATCACATTTAATTTAATCATTCATTCTACTATAGGTACTCTATGCGTGTGATCCTGTAGGTTCCCGTAACGTTAACAATAATATTAAATCGCATATTTAATATTATAAATAGTGAGTGGTATCTAGCAACACATCACTGTTACCCAAGTAACGAGAATGTCATGTAATTTGACATAACATTTTGTGATAATGATCATGTGTAAAATTATCATTTTGCCCTTATATCTATATTGAACACAAGGCATAAAATGTGTCACCCTTGTATAGTCCAATATTATATTCTTGATCCCCGAGTATACTTGATAACAATAAATAAGTCCAATATCTCATATTGACTTATTTGAGCACAATCATGCATTTAACAGTCATACTCTATCAAGAGGCCATAGATATTACTCCCATATATGTAGGAGGGGACAAATTCCATCTAGGTCGTTCATGTCCCTCGACATTATTTGTAAAGTATCCATCAACCATCTTTATGCTCATCCTGTTACGGATAATGTTTGATTGACAATAAAATACTCGATTTCACATATAGGGTCCATAATAGTTTTAGGTCGAAGGATAATATATACCACTATCACTATGAGAATATCTCATGATACTTACATAACAAATTATGTAATATTCTCATGATGAGTCAATCCAATATAAATATTCACTACAAAATAATTAATATTTACTTACAAAGGCTTTTAGTGACAGCTAAATCTACCGTAGGTATTAGAGAAAATACTTATATGAACACAAAAATAACAAGTGGACTTAGAAGCAATCAATTATATTTCTTTTATTAATTAAAAATTAAAATAAATTTGTCTCTTTCCTTCTTTATCACAATCATTCCATAATCTCAATTAAAAAATAAATTAAATTTTAAATAAATTTAAAATTTCTTCTTTTTTATTGATTTTAAAAATATGAATTTATATACATATTCATCCAAGTATTTCTCAAGTATAAATTATTTATACCCCAAAACGTATTAACCACATCACTGAAAATATTTAAAAAAATAAAAATAGGAATTGTTGAAAAAATTTAAATAAACATAAAATTATGAATGGGGCGAATCTATGCTTACCGCCAAATCCGTCGGCTTCACTTCTCATAACTGTATACATTTTCTTTCAATCTTTCAATTTTTAATTTATATGTTTAGTTTAGTGTTCACCCATTTAGGGTTTGGAATGAATTGTTTCTTTGATTTATTTTTGGAATCACATTTTTTTTTGGTATTTTGAATGTGTTTTTATTATGGGTTTTTCTTAGATTGTTTGTGTCTGAACCTAGTCCACGTGTGGTTGAGCTTGTCAAACCGTTAGTAGCCTAAATTTTTGATGATATTTGAGTTCTGCGGCATCACTGACATCGAATACATTCAGGTACTCTAAACTTTTGGTAGCATTTGTGTGCTTTATTCGTTTTTGATAGCTATATAAATGGTGTAGATTGAGTTTTGCAACATCGCCGACATCGCACACCTCTACTGTTATTTTATGAAAACGGAAGAAGAAATAGTTTTATTTTGGTCAAGAATAAAGGCGTTTTGATAGTAGATTTTGTAAAGTTTGATATGTTGATCACATTACTTGGTGTGTTGTTTTTTTTTGTTTGGCACACTACTTCCAGTCAAGAATTACATTATATGAAATGACTAAGTTTCTGTTGTAAGTTTGAGAACAAGGACATGTGGAGTTTGAGAAATCATATGAATGAATGAGTATGTTGTAAGATGTTTATGTTATGTACGTTAGTTTGCTGTTAAAGTTAATTAAACATCCAATTAGAATGATGGGTTAGGTAGAAAAGTTTTTATTATTTCATGAAACCCAAAGATATTTACTTCAAACTCAACTTCGTAACTAAAACACAATAAGTTAATTTTTCGATCCAGAAATGGTCTTACTTGGCTCTGTTTGTGGCTTCGACTAAGGTTTTGACTTGACTTCAGCTCGGTTACGTTTCAGAGATCGATTCAGGTTTGTGTATTGAATTTTACTCTGACTTTGCTTCAGTTTGTGTTTGGAGTCTTTGAGTTTGGTTCTGAATTTTGATTTCTGGTTTTTGAGTTTTGGTTCTAAGCTATTTACGGTTCTGTTTTCATGGTTTCGGCACTTTTCGAGTCATTGATTCTGAGTTGTTTTCTATGCAAATTTTTGTTCGACTTAAATAACCAACAAGCATACAACACTATAACAATAGATTACATGAGCAAATACCGGTAAAATGAAGAGAAATTGTGATTTCGTCTTCGCTTGCAAGGTGCTTGATGAAATGCCTCAACCGGATTTTCCTTCTTTTTGCTTGTTTTCTTTCACTTCATGATGTTGAATTGTTGTTGAATTCTTGAATTGTTATGGTTGTTGATACTTGAATTGCTATAATTGATGATTGTTGCTTTTTTTTTGTTGATTTTGCTTGAAGGTGATTATGCTAATGGAGGAAATGGGAGAACATGGTTGAAGAAGATGATGCAAGATGAAGTAGAGGAGTTTTGTAGAAGTTGGTGAAAAATAAACTTGAATGACAGTGGTGCTTGTCATTTGTGTCGTAGGAAATTGTGGAAGGAAAGCATATACTTCATATCATAAATATCGATATGGTATTACTCATAATGTCTTATGTTCCAAGACAAACTTATAATGTCTTGTTTTTAAAAATTTAGTTGAGAAGTACTCTACTCATTGACATATGATATACCCCAGCATTATTTTAAAATGACTAGCATTCTGCCTCCTTTCTAGTGTTGGTTATCACATTTGTTTGTGATGACCCATTTGTTTTTGCATCACAAACTAAAAAGGTGTTTTATTATGTATATCATGAGAGAAACAAGGATTGGGCTGCTGTTCTGGATGCAAATGTCAGAGATGTCTATGATATAAGTGATGACGAATGCAACGAAATTGATGAAAAGGTTTGTTTCTTCTTGTTGTACATTTCATGGGGTGAATTGTATTTAAAAAACAATTAACATATACCTTGTGTGTTTGATTTTAGATGAAAAAGGGCAGAGGAGTATTCCCTAATCGTCAAGAGATTGAGATTTACGTCGAAACTCACACTCGTAAAGATGGGTCAATTGTCAATGAAAAGACTGCAAAATTGATTGTAAGTTTTGCTTCTATTAAATTGGCTTAGCATGATTGAAACTTATATTTGCTTATTGAAAATGACTTTTGCTTCTATGAAATTGAGTTAGCATGATTGTAATTGAGTTTTTCTTCTATGAAATTGAAAAGGCTATCGAGTTAGCATGATAGAAACTGTAAATGTCTGATTCTTGGAAGAATCTGTCACTTGAAACTGAAAGGAAGTGGTGGTAACTTGACATTTAGAATTTAGAATTCAATGGTTGTTGTGATATTCTGTAAATAATGATATATATTTTCTGCCTAATGTTTTTCCATTCTGCATAATGTATTGATACTGTAAGGTTAATAGGTGGTGATTTTTTATTCAATGGGAATTAATATCTGTGAAGGAAAAAAATTGGTATAATAGTAAAAAAATGGAAAGTGATGGTTTTAAATCTTGTCAAAGACATAAAAGCTGCACTAGTGTTCATAAGTTTCATAGTAAAAGAGTGTGTGTGTGGGCAAATTAACATGATGGCTAGTATAAAAAAAACTAGGACAGAAAAAGGCACATGTGTGATTGGTGGCACAGGTTTTATGCATCTATGCTCATCAAATTGTTGCTTGACAAGGGTTATACTATGTTGTTAATCCTACTGTTAGAGGTCCAGATAATCCTAAGAAAACATCACACCTAGTGGCACTGTAGAGTTTCGTGGAACTGAATATGCTTAAGACGCAATTAATTCCCATTGAATGAAAACCATCACTTTCTATTTTTACTATTATACCAATTTTTCCTTCATAAACATTAATTCCTATTGAATGAAAAATCACCACCTATTAACCTTTTTGTTGTATAGAAAGTGGCTGCCATTTGTTTTCTTTTTATCTTATAATGAACTCTATGATGAATTGTATTATTATTTATCTTTTAATAATACAGGGTTAAAAAAAAACCACATTTTTATAATGAATTGTATTATTATTTATCTCTTAATTTTAATTTTTTGTAGGTGAAGATTAAAAGTTAAAATGGGAGACTTGATGGACACTTGAAGATGAAAGTCATAGGCTATGAAGTGGATACAATTTGTTTTTTGTTTGGAACTTGTAAGCTTATTTTATGATTATAAAATTATCTTTTTTTTTTGTTATTAGAATAATTCTAAGTGTTCTTAAATTGACATGATACAACTATCATTAATTTTAATTTTGTAAGCCTTTGAGTTAATTTTCTCTATATATATATTTTATGGTGTGACATTTTTGTTACAATTTGTTTCTTAAATATATTTATTTAATTGTTTATTCTCTAATTAATGAATAAAAAATGTGACATTGGAGTATATTAATGGAGATAAAATGTGGGACTATCATATACCAACGGATTTTTAAAGTGTATAGTGTGGATGGGAGCCATAGCTAAAATAATATGATTTAAAGTTAGGTCTATACCTATTGTTAACAGTCATAGTCTAAAATCCGTAACTATAGTTTATAGTGATGGAAATCTTTCGTAGGTACAGAAAACTAAAGGTTTCGGAAAAAAATCGTAGATATAAGTTTTATGGGCTATACCTACGGAATATAAACATTTACCTACGCTTTTTTGTCTGTCTAAAAGTCCAATTTCTTGTAGTGATTATACCTACGTGAAGACTTGATATCTCATATCCATGACTTGTAAGATACAGTCATTAGTCCACTCACATAATAGTCTTTATGCATTATTGTTGTCTTGTTTGACAATAAAGTTTGACTACGAATACTTTAAGAATAACATCTTTATGTTTAATGAGCTCTCATGATTAATTCACACTTAATAGATAATTAATAAGTTAATTATTCTAAGAATTTTATTATGTCATATACAAATAACATAATAAATATGATGCCCAATAAATATACATATATTGATAAATAATATATATCAAGGTCATGATACAAAAACATATTAAGCCAATATTGATTAACTATTAGGGCTTACTCCACGCTTATAACCTCATCAACTAGGCTATATACAATTCTTCCAGAGGGACTTAGATTTCTCAGGCTAACAATACTCTTTCCTGAGGGAGTAAGTGTCTCCTCAGACGGGACAAGACTCAAGATTCATGCCTGATAGGCGAGACAAAATACAGTTTAAGAAGCTTGATCCCAAGTATTGTCTGAGAGCTCGATGGAAGTCTCGGCAAAGTAGGTCGAACGCCTTGCCTGGGAGACTTATAGTCTCATCAGTCGGGTTATATATATTTTTGCCTAAGGGACTTAGATTCCCTAGGCTAACTATACTCTCGCCTGAGGGATTAAGTATATCCTCAGGCGCGACAAGACTCAAGAATCCCGCATGAGAGGCGCGGTAGATATCTTGTCTAAGAAACTTGATTATAAGTCTTGTATGAGGGTTCAGTGGAAGTCGCGCTCAAATAGGTTAAACGCCTCGCATGAGAAACTTATATTCTCATAATTTGGGATATATACAATTCTAATGTTTAATCTTTAACTCCAAAGTCATACTCGCATAACAAATTGTGCCACACTACACTTCCACTGTGCTACTCTGATCATCTATCTTAAGTTAATGTCATCATTTTGATTTTCAACAACCATCAGATCTACAATTTTCACATCTATCTTCAGACTCTCCTTAGTAACCACCAGAAAATCACTGTTCACTTTTTGAAATCCTCAACCGTATACTCTGCGGAATTAACTCGCGTACCAACTCAAGTCTCTAAACTGCTTAATAAATCCCAACTCTTTCATAGCCACTTTTTGCATTAGATTCACACAAAATGGTGAACAACTATCCTCTTGATAAAACGTCAATCACTTTACACACCATCAAGCTAGTAAGACACGTCTATCCCATCCATTTGGATCCCGTCTACTCTTAATAAGAGATTAAGGATTATCAGTTTCTCAATTTGTCAATAGGTAGCCAACAACCATAACAGTGACATAAATTATCATTACCCAACTATAATAGTTTCTTTCACCTTGTGCTCAAGGTTACCTGAGCATAATGTCCAACAATCTCTCCAAGGCTTACAAACGTTTTTCTTAATTTCCTTCATTTCTACCTCGTCCATGATACATAAACGCCAAAACTCCATTTCATAGTCTCCCTTATGTGCACGCAACATAACACAATTGCTAAGTATATTCTAATACAGGAAAACTACTACGCCAAGTATAATCCAAATCGTCTCATTCCAAAATAACTCTTTATCCTGTTAGAAGATTTTGACCACATCAATGAATCCTCACTCTTTCCTTTAATCTCCCATTTGGATCTCATTCTAATCACAATCTCAACACTACCATCACTCTAGTCATGCTTAATCGGCATAAGTTGTATCTCTATGCACTTATCTAATACGTTCACATCTTTACTAATGGCAAACATTTCATTCCCTTAAGTCATTCACTAACAACATATCTCACTTGACCTCATCTCAAGCACACTGATAATAACCTGTTAATCCTGAAAAGCTTATAGTATCCAAAACTAATTTCAGAGCCTCTCAATATAGACTTTTATTTACTTTGAATAGATTCCACAAATATCTTCGTTCGAAATAACATGTTCAAGAAAATTCACCTCTTCAAATCATGATCTACATCCTAACATCCTAACATATGTTTCCTTCCATTTTAACACTGTAATTCAAGTCACGATATTCAACATTTTCTTTTTCTGACTCAGACTAAACCAAAATTCCCTCAAGAAACACCGCAACAAACTGATTCAATTATTCAAAATAACTTCACTGATTTCTAAAAGTTGTCCTCTAACTATCCTCGCTCTTCATCCATATCTTAAGATAATCCGACTCCAATTCAATTATACTGAGAACATACTCGCCTACCAGTTGGTCTATCCAATCGTCAATCATCTGAAGTGGATATATAACCTCAACCACTATTTAATCAGTTATCAGTAATCCTGATACAGTTTCATACGACTTTCTTTTTCCTTAAATAATGGCATCACAGCTCCCAGAATGATACATTCGGTTTTACAAATCTATTTCTCCGCACATCTTCTAATAACTTCTTCAATTCTTTCAACTTTTGAATTGACATCCTGTATGGTACCATAGGAACAAGTCTGGTACCAAGCACGAGATCAACATCAAATTTCTCCTCTCATCCAACATCATCACGTGACAAATAAATTACTTCCAGGTGCTGGAACCATTTTTAAAACAAAGTTTATCATGTTAGCTTTCTAACACTTTAAATGAAACTCGAATCAGACGCCTGGAACTCAAGTTATGAATTTTTTAAGAATTACTAAAAGTCCTGTCAGCTTCAGTGGTAACCGATTACCCCATAATAGTAACCAGTTAATGCCCTTTTTCTTTCCTCTGCCATGCATTTTTGAATGCGGTAATCGGTTGCCCTACAATAGTGACCGGTTACCACGTAAGACAATACTTCACGTTTTAAAAATTTTCTGTGTATAAAATCCCTTCCAACATATATCTGAAACCCCATTCTTCTTATATCTTGAGAGACACACTACTTTCTTCAAATTTTAGTACTAAAAAACACCAAAACTCCAATTTTTTCCACAAAACTACCCAAAACGTCATTCTTCTTATAACTCAAAAGACATATTACGTTTCCAAGACTTCAATTTTCAAAACATCAAAACTCTGATTCTTCTCACAAGACTACCAGTATCCTTGAGTTCCGACTCTGACTCGCAATTCACAACCCTCCAACAACATCAACAATATTTCACATATATGATTCCAACAAAAAATTTACATCAATTCATCACTCTATCATCATTCAAAACATCGACATAACACACAATGCTAACTCAACATTGACAACTTCACAATCAACCGACATTGCTGAAACATTGCAACCGTCTGAGATTCACCTTCTAAAATCATCCTACATTGCTTAACAAATATCGTCTGGCATAAGAATATGCATCGACTCATTAAATTAATTCGTAATCACTTGGTTTCACTTCATACTGTCCACTCCAAGGATAACAGTAAGTCAACCCAACATCTCGCTTTAACGACATGTCGCAATCATCCCTGGAAAAACATTAGGACCAACACACAACTGGTACATCATTAGTCATAACATCACCCTCCATTCCTAGAGATGTGAAAAATGAAAGTACCTGGTCATTCCCGCTCAAGGACACTCTGACCCAACCGCTAGGAGTAAATCTCGAATCCGTACTTCCTTCAAAATTGGAAAAACAACACAACAACACTAACGACTGCACCTATGCACTTTACGACATACTAAACCAACTGTTTGCACCTGAACCATCTCAGAGAAGCACAAGTTTCTCCCCCACTTGTTTCAATCCCACTCCTGCAAACAACTGATTAGAAAAGCAAAAAAACATCGACAATGTCTCACACACTTGTCGCGTACTAAGGAACACACAACATTAGACAACTTAGTCGGACGAATCGACCTGCTATGATACCAATTGTAACACCCTATTTCTCCGTCGGTAAATTATATAAAATCAGAGTAAATTAATTTCTAAATAAACATAAATAAAATAGGATGTCACATACTTCGCCAATCACACATGCTCAAAAATAGGATATGCAACACAAAACCGCATGTTCATAAGTCTTAAACTTCAATGCATTTATTCGCAGCGGAAAAACATTACTAAATAGTCATCTCCATTTTCCAAATCGAAGTAACAATTATTATCTTTCAAACATCATCATATCATAAAACACTTCAAACAATGGAGCAATACAACTCCACTCCTAACACAATAAAATAATTCACGCGAATCCCCCGAGTGTTACGTATCAGAGCAGACACTGACTCAATCTACGCAACTGAAGGAAATCCTCAGCTAACCTTCGATCTCTAGCTGCTTCGGATCATCTTCATGTTACCCACGTAGAGGTAACATTCAAACAGAAAGGGTGAGATATCATCACAATATAAAAGAAAGCATAATAATGAGCAGGTAAGATTCAAGCACATACATACATCGTAATGTAACACACACTTTCATCAATCTTCGTCCATCGATTTTTCAATCACAATATGATGCAAAGGACTGACACTAATGCAATGCATGTGGTACTAACAAGGTAAAACCCTCTTCGCAATAGTGCCAATTCAGGGCAATCAACTTCACTCGCCAATACATGCCTTCGCTCTCCAATACAGACCTTTGCTTTATGTATGCATGAGACACTATCATGCAATAAAATATTTCACATTTATCGTTATTATTCATCATAATTTCGCCAATACAGGCCATCGACATCATTCTTATCATGTATCTCGTGTCACACAATCAAGACAATCATCGCAAATAACCACAACATAATTCATGGCATACAAATCAAAACACACATACGGATTTGTATAAATGTTGATGAAATAATTAACTACTTTATTATAAGTCATTTTTATAACATAAGAATTTATTTTATCTTTCCAACGGTCCAAACGACGCGTCAAACGGACACCTGAGATAAAAGTTATGAGTTTTAGAAGTTTTTCAAAAATGCTGTCAGTAGCGGTGGTAACCGGTTACCCAGTTATGGTAACCGGTTACCCAGTTATGGTAACCGGTTACTGCAGGACAGTAACCTTATTCTTTTCAAAATTCCTTCGCGGTGACCAGTTACCCACTTATGGTAACCAATTACCGCAGGACAATAGCCATTCATAGTAAATACCTTTGATATGGTAATCGGTTACCATATATGGGTAACCGGTTATCCTGCGATAACCGTGAAAAATTCTACAGTTTCCATGTTACGACCCTCCATGTTTCAACATCTAAAATTCATAATTTTTACATCAAAATTCATCTTTTTAACAGGTTAATTATTCATCAATATATATCTACCAATGCTAACCAATTCATATCATCAAATCTCATCAAAAACACATCAAGATCACCAAAAATACATCAATGAGAAAAACCCCAAAAATAATCAAATAGAGAGAAATCAAAACATACAATCATACAACCTAAATCCTGTCGTACCCCATCATTAGGCAACTCTTATAGAGTTAAAATCTCCCCTTACTTTAGGTTCTTGATTGATTCTTGATTTCTACGGTAAAATCTCTTGCCCAGCTTCCTAGTGCTTTTCTCTTCTTCTCTCTTCTACGCTTCTCTTTCTCTATTTCTGCATACTAACTCTTTTCCCTTATTCTTACTCTAATATATCCCAATAATAATATAACTATTCCAATTAATTAATTATTTAATAAAATAATATCAATCCTATTATTCTACTAATAATTCTATTATAATTATTATAAAATAATAGTAAATATCATATTTAACAAAAAAATACCAATTATCACTCTCACCCTTATGTTTCTACACTTTTAGCCATACACCCCTATCACCTAAACTTATATAATTTCTAAGACATCTAATTACTAACAAATGCATCACATCACATCATAAAAACCACCAACTCATATAATTACACTGCATCGACTAATTCGCCATAATTCATATATTCACCAATCATCACCGATATTTATACTAAATTAATTAAATAATTAATCTAGATTTTTGGGGTGTTACATCAGAACTATGGATCAATATATGGAAAAGCAAATTGTATGGAGTAGGGGCCAGTGATTAATTTTTACAAGCAATATCTCATTTCTTATCTTGTAAGGTGGACAACGTCCCATTTAAATTTGTAGGTATCACAGTTGGTGGTAATGAAAGAAATTATGCATTCTGGAAACCTGTGATATCCATGTTAATATCAAAATTATCAGCATGGAAGGTAAGCTTACTATCAATAAGGGGAAAGGTTACTATGATAAATTATGTCTTGACAAGTCTTCCAGTGTACCAATTTTCATTTTTTAAAGCTCCAACTAAAGTTATTCAAGAAATCATTAGTATCCAAAGGAATTTTTTGTGGCAAAGAGATGCAGAGAAGAGGGAAATAACATGGATAAGCTGGTCATCCATCTGTAGACATAAACAAGAAAGTGGATTTGGAATCAAGGACGTGTTTAATTTTAACAAGGCACTTCTAAGCAAATGGATATGAATATTTCTTAAGGAAGAAAATGAAATATGGAAGAGGATTCTTCAAGAAATATATGATAGGTTGCAAAGAAGATTGTGGTTTAATGAAGGGCCAAGAAATATATCAAAGGAATCATTGTGGTGGATGGATTTGTTGAAGATGGGAGGGAACACATTCCATTCAGACTAGGTGAAGGGGCACACATTCCATTTTGGGTTGCTCTATGGGTGGGGAAAAATTCAATGGTTGTTCAATTTCCAAACCTTTATCAAGTATGATGTAATAAAGATGGCAGTGTAAAGGATATAGGGACATGAATTGAAGACAATAGGCATTGGAAGATTATTTTGAGTGTACCTGAAATTGGATCCACATAAGTTACATAAGAGTCAGAGAAAGCAGAATTGTTACAAATCCTATCAGGGATTAATCCTCTATTTAATCAAAAAGACAAACTTGTGTGGCCTTATGGAAATGATAATACTTTTTTTGTAAAGTCTTGTTATGAGAAATTTATGCAGGATGTAGATATTTCAGTGGTAAATGACATACTAAAGGAGGCTCTAAATGGGGCTTAGGAGTCTACAGTTTCACCGAAAATGACGATCTTTGGGTGAAGATTATTACATGATAGGTTGTCAGCAAGGATGCAGCTAGCAAGAAAGGGGAATAATTCATGATTCTCATGATAAAGTTTGTGTTTTCAGTTTCACACATGAGGAAGACATTGACCACCTAATGATAAATTACATACAGATAAGTAAAGTTTGGAAGAAGATCCAAGAGTGGATGAGAAAGACTTAGATTTGAATGAAGGTTGCTATAATCACTTGTTGAAGGTTGTTATGATGTTAAAAGGACATATTTATAATAAAAGGGTGGGAATTATTTGGTTGGGGGTTTGTTGGTGCATATGGAGATGCAGAAATGAAATAATGTTTAAAGATGCTATAAGGGATGTAGAAGAAATTACATTCAAAGTCAAGATGTTTACATGGTGGTGACTTACCATTGGTGAAAAAAAGAAAACTTAAATAATATAATTTTTATGAGCGGTGTAAAAGTCCACCTCATTTCCTTAAAATGTGTTTATTCGTTTTCATTGTTGACATGTTCTCTTTTGTAATCAGATTGAAGTATTCCTAGTAATCCTATTTAAATACAAAATTAATTATAAAAAACAAACAAAAGAATATGTGAATTTCAACGTCACATTCCTAACATTTCTATTCATGATGCAAACCGCCCATGCGTTTTATGCACACAATGTGAGAGTTGAGTGTATACTCTTTTAATTTAACGCATGAATCAATTCTTCTTTTTTTTTGAAAAGAAAAATGAATTAAAACCCAATACAAGGAATGCTAGCTGAAAAAAGTAAATACAAGGTTTTAAAAATACACATAAGATAGTAGACCACAAAATTGACACTGCTATCACACCAGAACTGCAAAAAATCCACGCCAAAACCATATACCAGTTACATTAAGCTCTCAAACCTATCAAACCTCTTCTAAACCCACATACCAGCAGAACCAATGAAATTAATTCAAACTTCAATCCCTTGACTATACAGATTTGAAGGCATCAACATCACACCAGGATCCAGTTGCAAATGGACAAACAAAGACGTACCATTGTTATATGACCATAAATTGACCTCGAAAAGAATTCGGGTTTCTACAAGACAATGAAAAATTACCAAATAACTAGCTCTAAATTGGAAACGGCCGCTAAAACTCCAACACAACAAGTCTATGACTTTAGCGGAACAATCCCACCAACTCCAAAACAAGCCGATTAGACAGGCTACTCCAAACACCTGAGATGAGTAACAAATGACCACTCTGCACTAGAAAAACAACTTGCAACACAAACACACTTCCTGGGCGTCAGGATTTTTGAAGTTATAGCTAAAACATATCGAGGAATACCCTTGGGTTTAAGCACCACATTGTTGCATTGATCTCTCTTCTATTAGTTTTAAAATTCAGCCAATTCCACACTAACATTTTCACATCCTCTGTCAGATTTTCGATTATGATATCTTTGTTTTGAAATAGCTTTTATTCCTTCCTTTCCAGATTCTCCAAACACTTGCAAACCAAATCGCTCCAACCTGCCTTGAAACCTTCCTGTTTCCCCCCTAAAAGCCCTCCAAGCTGATCCAGCATGGAAAGACTATTATTGTACAAAACCAATGAAATATTTAGCCACCGCAACACAACATACCAAACCCCTGCAAACACTGGACATTCAAAGAAAAGACGAGGCACTGACTCTTCCTTACCCCACTCTCCTACACATAGGACGGATCCTTGTACAATAACTCATCTCCTAAACAAGTTATCTCTCAAAGCTATTTTATTCTGGAAAATCCCCCAGGCTAAACATGAGACTTTGATAGAATCTCTTTACACCATGCCTTAGATCAAACCGAGTTACATGATTACTAGTAAGAGACACCGGAGCTTTATATACTTCCTTTATAGAGTAATTACTCGGATCATACAAGTCTCCGATATTAAGCGGCGGATGGTGTTCCACCAACTAGAATTATCACTTTCACCGCTTCTTATGGAAATATTTCTCGACCTGTATCTATTAACCAAAGCCCTATACCATAAACCACACCTCTCACTGTTTATTTTCGAATCCCATTTTCTCAACAACCCTAAATTAAAGGCTTTTAAGTTTCTAATCTCTGAACTTCCCTCATCGATAGGCCTACACACCTTGTCCCGGTGGACCCAATTTATTTTTCTTTCATTCTCACTTTCCCCCAAAGAAATAGTTTAAAAAGAGTTTTGAGATAATACATGTCGGAACCTTAAAAAAAGGAGAGAAAGTAAATTGGGAGCGCTTGCAAGACTAATTTTATAATCACCACATGACCACCAATAAATAATTGTTTGTTTTTCCACCATGACAATCTCGATCTTACCACCTCAACCACTGCCGGCCAAGTTTCGAGTCAATTTGAATTTGCACCAATTGTTAAGCCAAGGTATTTGAACGAACTGTTACCTAACTTACAATATAGCACGTTAGCCGCTTCCTCAAGCCACCTTAGAGATATGTTGATCCCCATCAATAAGTTTTTATTGAAGTTAACCTTTAAGTCAGACATTAATTCAAACAATAGAAGATTTGCTTTGATTAACCTGATGTTGGACCATCTTTTTTCACCGATAGTGAGTGTGTCGTCTGCATACTGCAAGTGTGTGAATTTGTCTTCGCCATTGTCAAATTTAAATCCAATAAAATTTTTCAAGTCCATCACTTTGTTCAATAACATATTGGAGCCTTCCACCACTATGAAAAACAAAAATGGTGACAGTGAATCTCCTTGTCTCAAACCTCAACTTATCCTAAATTCTTTAATAAGGCTGCCACTTACCAATACTGACACAAAAGACGATCTAAGATATTTGAAATCCAATTCCACCGCATGAATCAATTCTTAAAGCGCATATATCTTCATTTTCATCCTTTTTCTTTTGTGTGTTTTCTTGTTAAAAGTGGTTGTGTTTTTGTGTACGCTGTTTTGACTTGAATACTAGTGATATTTATATCATGTATATCGAGCAACACTTGCTTGAACACAAAATTTAAACACAAAACTTAAGCACACAGTCATACAAAAAATGCAATGAAAATAAATAAAGTAAAATAATTAAATTATGTATTATTTTTGTGTGAGCCCAAACGAATATAATTTGTGAGTGTGCCTAAGCAAGTATTACTCATGTATCTCTCTCTTATTTTTCTTACTTTATATAAATATTAGTACCATTAGAAAAATTAAGCAAATGACGGCAAATTGTATAAAGGTACCATAAACTCAAAGCCAAAAAGAAGCGATAAAAAAGTAAGGCATGTACATAAAAATTATGAAACATCATTTATTGTATATACCCCATCACACAAAGTCAATGTAAAAAGAGATGTATCATATCAAATTCCCCTCTTCATAAATATTAATCATCATTGCTCTTAAATTTTCAAACTAGGTCCCACCTTCTCATGTACACATATTGGACCCCACTCTCTATCCCCCCCACAAGTCCACCATCATCTGCCTTATCATAAACTATGGTATTATTTTTGAAAGTGACAGATTTATAAATACTAATTTACATTAATTCATAAATTCATAAATAAATATCAGTTGAGTTATCTCAATAATTTTTATTTTTTTAAATTTTAATAATAATTTACTTAATATAATTTAATAAGTTTATATGTAAAAATATTTATTTCCTTATTAGTTTCTTATTACATCTTTAAATGAATACTTTTTGCTGTCTATTTTACAAATTAAAATATTTTATACAAATAAAAAATAATTTTATTAAAATGTCATTATAATGTACTAGTAACGAATTTTTTATCTTATCTTAATTAAATAAAATGTAGATTAAATTAATTTTATAATACAAATAAAAATAAAAGTTGAGAACATACTAAAAATTGAAAAAGTCAAACATTTTTTGTATAAATAAATCACTCTTTTTCTATATCCATTTCGTATAAATCAATCCACCTTTCTTTTAATTTCAAAATCTGTTCTAATTTATTCATTTTTAGATTCATATTTTTTCATCTATATGTAAAAAAAAAAAACATTTTCTTATTCTTCAGAAGATAAAAAATAGCTTTAATTTTTGTCATAGAAATCAAACCATAGATAAACTATGCATACCAACAATTTATGCAAACAGAAAAACAATAACATGATGTACCCTATCTTTCTCTATTTTGTGAGCTATCTAATTAACATGATACATCATACATTGATATATGTAGACAAGAAATTGTTGCCCTATGTTCCCCGTTACCACTTCTCCCTTCAATAATTTCCTTGTCCTTTATTCTTCTGCTATTCACTCCCCTAAGGTTAAACCTAGTTACCATTAATGTAGTTGAATATTTCATGAACTGCTTCTGCTATGTCATTTGCTGTGCCTAGCTTACAATCTTCTTCAATCTGCATCACACACACAAAGTCTCTTATTTATTCAAGAAATAATAATAATAAAAGAATTTTATAAATGATAAACAATGTTAGCTTATCAAGAGTCTTAGATTCAGATTAGTCTCTGCAGTTACGAAGTTAGTCTCTGCAGTTACGAAGTTAAGAGCAGAAGATAATTAATTTCTATCCAAAAAAAATAATGTTGGAACTAGGGAAGATAGGTTTTGCTTAGATTACAAGTCAGAAAAGAACAGTACACTGACTTGATTCCATTGTGAGTTGAGTTGAGTTGACCACATTTAAAAAAATTAGTAAAATATAAAATGAAAAGACAAAGTAATACCTTGAGATTGAGGGAGTAAAGTACAGAAGACTCAAAGGATGTGATATTAAGGTGAAGAATAGTTAGCCTAAGATTCTCCAAAGCAACAATAACTTTTATCAATTGACCACATCTTCTTTTGCACTCAATTTTCAAGTTCACATGTGTTTGAATCAATGTCACTTTTATATCTGCTGCTTCTGATTTGTTTTCTGCCTTCACCTCATTTTCCTCACAACATGATAATTTTGTTCCATAACTAGCTGGTGGTGATGATGATGAGGATGAACATCCAAATTCTTCACTCTTTTTTAACCTTTTTTGTACTTCAAGAGATTGAAGCAATTGTTCTAACTCCTTCACAAAATCAATTGCTCCTCCAATTATTGATGCTTGGTCACCCTATCACATTATCAACAAAAAAAAAAAATCATCACCAACAAAAATTAAAATTTTAAAAATAATTTAAAAAAAGGAAATTTTTTTAGTGTTTAACAAAATAAGTGAGTTTGACAAAATGGGTCTATTAAAAATGTAATTTTTATTAAAAATCCAAACATGCCCATATCATCAAACATCAAAAAGATTGAATTTTTAACATGAATAAAGCAAAAGGAAGCAAATTGAAGAAAAGGGTCATGAGAATTTAACTTAAAACTTCAAAAAAAAAAAATGATTAAAAAAAGTGCTTACCCTTTGAATATAAGAAGATGGCATAAGAGACCTAAGAACACTAAGGTGGTCATTCATTTGTCTTCTCCTATTGCGTTCAACAGCAATGTGTGTCATCCTTTGATTCTCAACATCTTCCTTATTCTTAACCGGTCTTGTTCTTTTCCTCTTTCTCTTTTCCCTTGTTGTCACAAGTTGAGATTCGGAACATGTTTTTGTTTGTTCTTGGTTACACTCATAGCTCAATTTCTGAATGCATGAAGCTGAAACTTTGTGTTGAAGCTCATAGCTTTCTGATTTCACTGGTGAATGCATCTCTAGTACATCATGTGTAACACAGCTTTCAAAGTCCAATGTTGTTTGAACTTGTTGATGTGAATCCATTCTAGGAATAAAGGCTATATCTTCTTCCCATGGTTTATTCATATGTTGTAGCCTCAAAAGTGTTTGAAAGTTTGGTTCTTTTAAAGGATAAATTGGAGATTCAACACTTTGAAGCATTTGAAGAAATGGCATGTTGTCTTCTAAACTTGATATCAGAAACTGTTCATCTTCCTCAAATCTTAAGCTTTCTGTGTCAAGAAATGTTTGGTCTAAACAATTCACTTCACCAAAGAACTGCAACAGAAAAAATGTGTTACTAAAAGTGTATGAAGAAAAGCGTTGCTAAAAAAGAATGTCAACAATTTTCAGAAAAATAGTAAAATGCATTAAATGCAATAGTTTTGAAGAATAAATTGGAACATTAAGAGAAAGAATAATATAACATACAGAAGAATTGATGGGTCCTTGAAGCCTCTCCATGAAAAAAAGATGAGAAATTTAATGCTATGAAATTATTATGAATATTTTTTTCTTAGGTTAGGTATCAATGAATGTGACCAACATTCTGTAACAAAAGAATGGTAATAAATGTGAAAGCATAAGAAGAAGCATGAGAAGACCCCATATGAATAAGAAACACTAGGGAAAAAAAAATATAATTTTGTTTTTGTGATGTATTTTGATGGTCTTATATAGAATATATATAATAAATGTTTTGTTATAGGAACAAAGTATTGTGAGTCTAGTAAGAAGGGAAATAGATTCTTTTTTTGTGTGTGTGAAAAGAGAGAGAAAGTTTTGATGTAGAAATAGTAGAGGATTGTGGTAAGAAATGAAAGGTGGAAACTTTTCAAATGGGGTTGCTAGAGATATGCTATGCTATGCTAGGAGATACTACATTTGAAGGAGAGAGAAAGAAGGGTTGTCTGATTTGCAAGGTCCCAAGCATTATTGGCGGTGTGGCAGTTTTGTTGTCTATCACCAAGGACAGATAGTTGTGGGACTCTTTCCCATATCTCTGTATCTCTCTCTTCTCTATGTGTTTTTTTCTCTCTCTTATATTGGAAGAAGAAAAAAAATAGAGAAAATTTAGAAAGGGTTTATGGGGATTGTGTGGTTTGTTTTGATAATAATTATGTGTTTCTTTTTGACATTACAAAAATTAATTCTAATTGAATTGATTTATGTAATTGATTAAGGTTAAAAGTGATTTTGATGTTGAGTAGTATGTTTGAAATCATGTTTAAAATTTTTTTTATTTTTGAAGTAGAATTCTATTTTAAAGATAAAATCAATTTACTTTTTTTTTCAAGTAGTCTAACAAGTGTAATTCACTATTTAAACATAAATAAATGGGATGTTGCACATTCAAATATTTGTCCATGTAAGTGATGTTTTTACACAATTATCAAGTATTTTTATTTTTAATTTTAACCACTAGTATCTATTAGTTGAACTATTTAATCTAGTTCAGAAGTCAGCTATGAGACAAATGATTTCAACTCTCCCTTAATCACAATTACGAAGAATTAAGCTATAATTTTTTCTATTAAATTCAACGTAAATCAACACTAAAACAATTAACTAGTTAAATCAACTGACTAGTTAATTTTAATTTAACTAGTCAATTCTAATTTAAAAAAATTAATCACCACAAAATCATTATAAAACCAATTTCATACCTTCAAATTCTAAATCAAACATATAATACTATTTCTTTTTAGTTTTATTTTTATTTTTGATTTAATAATTTAATAATTAAAATTTCATCTTTAAATATATACAAGTGAAACGTTGCGAGTTTCATCCTTTTCAATTGAGGTGACTTAAATTTTCTAGACTTTTTATTAAAGTCCAAATTATAGAAGTTGCCACATTTTTTTAGCCATATTAGTTAATAGTTACAACAGATTATGATGGATATGTAATCTAAAGTAGATATAGACAGACCACTATCAATAATTTTTATATTAATATTTCAATGACTTTCATTAAAAAAAGTTCTGTAAAGTTGAAGAACTCAGATTTGTGGATATGCCATCACTTGTTTATCCTCCAGTTCAACTAGTCAATTTATACTGCACATGGGATGGGGGAGCCATGGAAGTACAAAGGTAAAAACCTCTTTTCCAGTGTTGTATAAGTGGGATGATTTTTTTAAATGTTAAAAGTGTCTTTTAATCTTGGTATATATTTTAAAAATATTTATAAGTTGTAATATATGGAAATTAAAAGGGAGATAAAAATAAATGCATACAATACTATAGTATTATATGTGTATTTTAATATATCAGTGGGAAGGTTATATTATACTTAAATTTTCAAATGAATCATTATGTGTTGAGTTTGTGTGAAAACATATAATTTTTTTTAGAAAAAATAAATTCCTCATTGTGGTTTTGCAAGTAATTCTTATGTGATTCAAAGATAGATATGAAATGAACTTATGAATTTATCAATTTTTTATTGTTGAATCTTAGCCTTTAGGGAATGATGGTGATATCAATGTAGTCACTGGTTTCTATGTGAAATTTGGTAGAAGTCTTCCAAACAATACTTCCAATGATGAATTTATTAATTAGATCATTTTGACACTATTGATAGCTATTAAAGTTGGACCAATGGGAGGAAAGATGATGGTTAATCTTTTGTTAGATTATATATAATATGGATTTTGAAAAAATAATTAAATATGTGCAATGAGGTGTTGAATAAAGAGTCGAAAGTGGAGTGAATTAATTGGTGTTGAAAATATTCAACATGTTGAATGAAGAGGAAGTAAAGTCACATATAATATTTTGCAAAATTTTATTGATTGTTGTGATTGTTTAGATTTTTAATTCACTTTAATTATTTGAAATCAATTATTTTAAAATAAAATAATTTTTTATTTGTTTTTATTTTCACTAAAATTCATCATTTTTTTGTCTATAAATAGAGATTTGGTTCATTTGATTTGGACATACAAAAAAATCTATTTCTTTTCTCTATTTTTTCTTTTTAAATTCCAATAAATTTTTATTTTTTTTAAATAATGACTGTCCCTATAAAATTAGAAAAAAAATTCAAATAAATTAAGAATATAAAATTAAAAAAAAAATTCAAATATATTATTAAATTAGAAAAAAATTAAAATTAATTATCTAACACTTAATTATTTTAATTTCATTTCAATCGACAATTGATACTAATATATAATCATAAAAACAAAAATATAAAAGAAAATAAAAATATGAAATAAAAGTGGTGGGGTTAGGTGGTGAATTTTATAAAACAAAATCATTACAGTGAATAAAAGTTGAATGTGTGTTGAATTATTAAGTGAAAGAAAGAGAAGATGATGTGAAGTATAGAAAGTGGGAAAAAAAGATGTTGAATATGTAAACCATTGTACATAGTCTTAGGCTTAGCAGAAATACTTGTAATCAGAATTTGCTAGATGACTGGAACACAGTCGATTATTCTACTTTGATGAAAAAATCACTCGGACAATACCTTATTATTTTACATTGTGACAAATGTGAGTTTGATTCGACTAGGCCATTCAAATTTCTGAACGTTTGAATTTTGGATGATAATTGCTGACAGTTAATTGTTGATAATTGAAACAATAGTGTGGTTGGTTGTCCTGTGTTTGTTTTATCTATTAAATTTGGATCTTTTAAACATATTCTTAAGAAATAGAGAAAAAGAGATTTTTGGCAATATTCATTTTAAAGTCACTAAAACTAGTGATGAAGTTAATAGAATACAATGTTTGATTAATGGTGCAGGTTACAACGATGATCTTGAATTAGAGGAGAAAAAAAAGGTCAAACTTATGTTAGATAAGGCATTCATATGTAGGATCAAAATTTAAGGAATAAGGTAAAGAATAAATGGTTTAAAGATTGAGATATGAATGTAAAGTTTTTTTTTTTTAATAACACAATCAAATTGAGATATGCTAATAACAAAATCACTAGATTGAGACATGATAATATTTATTTGGAGGAGGTCATTAAATTATATAATCATGTTATTAACTTCTACAAAATTTTATCCAATTCATAAAATTATAGATATACTGATCTAATAGAAAGAAATATCTGACAAGTTATAACTCGCGCAGATAATGGTTATCTCACTAGAATGCTTCATTATGAGAAAATTAATAATGCAATGCACAATATTTATGGTAATTTTGCTCCAACCTCTAATGGCTTTGGAGGATGTTTTTCCCAAGCCTATTGGAATATAATGGGGACAAGTGTGATCAATCTAGTGAATCAATTCTTGGAATAAGGTTGGATCCTTCTTTATGTCAATTCAGTCAATATGAATTTGATACCTAAACAACCTGGTGAAGATTCAATTGACTGGTATAGACCTCTTGTATTTGCAAATTTTTAATTCAAAATCACTAACATCATTATAGACAGGTTGATCATTTGAGCTCCTAAAATTATTTCAAAATACTAAATAGGATTTATTAGGGGCAACCATATTTATGAGTGAATTGAGATTTTTGTATAAGCCATTAATTTGTTGGACAATAAATCCTTTCAAGGTAGTACAACTTTGAAGATAGACAACAGAAAAACCTTTAATACTTTATTTTGACATTATCTTATTGAAGTTCTTTTTTTCTTCAATTTGGCTTTGATCAAAAGTGTTATTAGTGAACTCTTATCATTGTCCACTCAGCCAAACTATCAATCATAATAAATGAGAAAGCTGGTAAGACAAGGAGATTCTTTGTTTTCTTTGATCTTCTGCACTACTCAAAAAGCACTTAGTAGATAGTTATCTATGTTGGTGGATCAGGATAAGTGACATGCATATTAGTTGGTAAGACAATTATTCATAACCACACTTTTTGCATATGACCTTATGATATTTTATAAATATACCAGGAAATATGTTTAAGTAATTAGTCATCTCCTTCAAGAATATGGTCATAATTTTGGTTATCACATCAGTCAAATTAACAATAAGCTTTATGGTGGATCTAGTTTTGGATATAGGATAAAACACATTACAAATAGTTTGGATTCACCGTGGAAATACATCATTTGACTATCTTAGAGTTTCTATATTCAAAGGCATGCCTTGTATGACTAATTGAAGCAATTAAACATGTCCATCATAGAAAGAAGGTGTCTTTTCCAAGTAGCTAGCTTGGCCAATACTATATCTACTATTTTGTAGTCTTAGGATTTGTGAGGGTCAATAAATCTTAATAAATTGCATTCTTGCATCAATAGTTTTATATGGTTAGGTAGTGTGAATAGTAGAAATATGATTACTACAACTTGGAAGGTTATTTGCTCACCTTTGTCAGAAGGAGATCTTAATTTGAGAGATATTAAGACAGTAAACAAAGTTGGTTGTCTATATCTATGTTGGAAGTTGTTGACCATCAATAATCAATGGTCTTCTATGCTTATTAGTAGATACTTCAAGTACAAAAAACCAATCATGCATTATATTTATTCTTA